ATATATATATATATGTTCTCTCTCTTTCTCTCCCATCTTTTCTTTTTCAGAAGATGAACTCTATTTTTCGTTTCTTTCGTTCGTTATTTTTAATCTCTCTTTCATAAACGTTTGTTTCATCGTTTTTTGCTTTTTTTGTTTGTTCTTTTTTTTTTTTCATTTGATTTTCTTTTACTTTTGCTCCTTAGAACGGCCCACGGCCCTCTCAAGGATCTCGAAAAGAGGACTCTCTGCTTGCTGCCTTACGCGCACGCATCAGGATGCTGAAACGTTATATATATAAGACAGCTTTCAACAACTAAATCTATGATCTCAGCACGAATCGTATCCAATTAAACGAACACTTATGTATATACCTACATATATAGTTTACTATTATCTAAAAATGTATTGTGTGTACGCGATATTTTGTCGGTGATAGAAGAGAAACAAAAAAAAAAATATATATATAAAAATTAATTTATATGAGTGAGAGAAAAAAATATCTGTCGTATTGATTTTTTTACTTTCTGTCTAGTTGCCTTGAAAATCACCAAAAAGTCTTGACAATGTTTTCCGACATTCCGATTCGATGCTTCTTACGCTACTTCCTTCATCTAAATTCTGCGATAAGTTACAACACTTACGTTCTTAAATATATTTCGAAAAAAAATCACATCAACGTAGACTTACCCATATTGGCCAGGAAGAACCGCAGGATATCCAGCTCTAATACCGGCAGCAAATGGGAATGCTAAAATCATAAATGGTCTTGAGTTAATTTCTATTTGCGTTTTCTAATCGTCGACCGTGAAGAACACTATGCTTATTTTTCCATGGTATTTACGCACAAATACAAAAAAAGACGCACGATTAGTACTTTCTAAATGCATCCAATGAAATAAGAGACGGAACAAAAAAAATAAAACCGAAAAATAAAATAGCTATTTGACTGAAAGGAAGAACGTGACTAGAGAAAAAAAAAAAAAAGAAAAAGAAAAAGGACAAATGTAAATTCGGGGGCTCGGTTAGGGCAATTTTAAACTCGCATCAGACTCCAAAACTATGTTGGCCTAAAGCCATTTAAGAAAAAGAGAGAGAGAGAGAGAGAAAGCGGTAGCAAGAATGATGCTGAGAACGCTTCTACCACTTCATTTGGGCTTTCAAAAATGTTTCTCGCCCTTTTTCTGTGCTCTACCATCGTCCCTCTCTACTCTCTTTTAGGATCAAAGATCAAACTGAGAGTTACGTAACACGACTATACTCAATCTTCTATCTTTATCAACATCTATCTAAAGAAACAAACGAGTGAACTGTACGATAAGTTAGCTACGATTGAGATCTCTAATATACAGTGAAGGGTGGAGAGTTTTAGACTACAACATAACGATCGACAATATTCCACAAGATTCCACATTTTCAGACAATAAACTATACACGTTGACGTTGAAAAGTTTGTTCAATTTTTCTTTCGCGGGTCTATATTTTATTATTTAACATGAACAAAACGTATATCTACTCTGTATGTATTGTATTTCCTATTTCAAAACTTCAAATGTGTATTATGTTCTTCTGGCAAGATAAAACTTACTGAAGTCAAGTAACGTTTTCGTATCATTGGACATTCGATAGGGTAAATATGATTTACAGAGAACACTCACTTTTCCAACATAAGTATTAATGTCAGAATCGTAAAACGCTCCTGTACATACATATGTGCTTTCGGTACTAAACAGATTGGAAATAAGTAAAACTGTAGATCTTGGAATAACCAAGCACTGTAGTACTATAATATCCTAAGGCAAACGCTGTATGACTCATCCGTGCTTTCGCGTTTCAATTTTTTACGATTTCTTGAACACGTCGAAATGTTCATTATTCGCTTAAAAATAGACCGAATGTTCGCGAGGTTAAACATCGAAACGACGCGACGTAAGGTTCCCTGGAAATTGTACCAAATGATATACAATCTATATTACTGGGAAGAAAAAAAGAATTTCAAAGATTAGTTGAAACTTTATCAAATGATAGTACTTTTTATAAAACAATATCACAACTTCACTTTTGACTATTATTCCAACGATAAGATGAAATAAAAAGAAAAGGAGGGCTTGACATAACATTTAGAAGTGAACTTACTGGTTTGCAAGTTACCCCTCGGTTTAGCTCCAAGAATTGCTAAGTTAACGTTGGCCTTGCGGCCATCGATGATAGGATTGGGGTCCTTGCAGGCTCTCTCAGCTGCCGCTCTGTCTCCCATGATGACCTATGAGCAAAATTGGTTGATCCAACTCATTTGGATTGTCCAAATGTGATCGTCGAATTATGAGCGATTAATAAATGATGTGAAAAAAACTAAGATATTTTCGCTAATCAACAAAAATGATGTAACATCAATGCTTGAATTTCCATATTATCTAAAGTGGTGTAACGATAAGACGATGAACGGGTTTTAAAACCAAGTAACTTGTAGCTACAACATTCGCAACATTTGCTAAAGAACTTTATCAGCAAGTTAAAGAGGGTACCGTGTGAGAACTCGAACATTTTTGGTAAGAACTTGAAAACTAGTTGCTTGCTTTAATCGCAATGATTTACGGGTTTATCGATAGGTACCGGATTTCCTTCGAAAAGAAACAAACTCGATTAGAACTGTAAATTATACGAACATAAGCTCTGATGAGATTAAAAGTATGTATATTCTTATTATCTTATGTATGTTTTCATTTAACTAGATATCAGTAATTCATTCTATTATAATAAACGTTATGGTTTTTAATAGTCTGTAGTCAAATTAAACTTATACGAGCAACTTTTTTATTGGGGGATTTTCCAGCTCACGTTAACTCGTATTATAATAAATAAGAAAGTTGTTAAGATGTACGATAAAATAATATAAAAGACAAAATGAATTACTTACGAAACCGTAGCCTCTGCTTTTTCCAGTTTGCCTGTCAGTGATGACAACGGCCTCCTCGATATCCCCGTAAACACTGAAATGTTCCCTGAGACTTTTATCGGTCGTATGATACGGTAGACCGCCGACGAATAATTTAGTCCAGGTGGTATCTTTTTGCTGAGGTGTGGCACCCGCAAGAGCACCCAGCCCGGAAACGAGCTCGTCCGGGCCTGGTGCTCCCACAGCACCTACAGCACTAAGACCGGCGGCACTGGGCATCAACATCCTCCAAATTTTGGCGATATCACCGCCGGACGAAAGAACCACTTGATCAATTTTGACTATTTATTTGGTACTGTTGGGATGAAAATAAATCAGACGTGCCGTTGGTTCAACAGCATCTAGGTCAAACTAATGCGAGCTCTTACTCTTCCTGAAAATATATACAAAATATTTCATTTACAAAACACGTTATGATCGAACGAACTATAAATTCTTCTTGCTCGATATTAACATTTTTCTTATTATTCAACAACAATTTTTATTTCCATATTCGATTATCTATTTAGCCGTACAAAATCTATTTTATGTGATCTAAAAATCTATCGCTTTTAAAATATTCAAGGCATCTTGTTACTGTTCAAAAGAAACGGTCGAAAAGGAACGAAAATGGTTTTCCCTTCGTCACGAGCCATTTCTTTCTCTTTCTCTCTCTCTCTCTCTCTTGCTCCCAACGAATCGATGACTTCAACATGTACAAAGCGAACAGATAAAAATTCCCCTTTGCACGGAAGCCGCGAGGGAAGGAGAAGGGGAAAAAAAGAGAAGCAAAGAGAGCTAGCTAAAGGAGTCTCGTCGAGGAAGGAGAAGAAAAGGGCAAGGAGGTGGGAACCCTGACCTCCATTCAAGGTTGGGAGAGCCTGAAAAAGGGAGGTAGCACAGCTTAGGCCCTATACCTTGCTCAGGTAGATCGTGTATAGGGTATTTTTCGTAGGGCTCTCGCCTTTCGGGTTTCAACGACGGAGTCTGCAGAAACGTCTTTTTCTTTCTCTCTTTCTCTTTTCTTCCTTATTTGAGAGCAAGCTAAAGCGACGACGAGCTGCTGCGTCTCTCTCTCATTGTGCGCACCGGGCCTCGGCGAGGACTCAACGCGTACTTCCCTCTTCGTTCCTCCCAACACACACTTCTTGTCTCGCCTAGCTTTCGTCTCTCCCTGAGCGTCGTTACCCCCACCACAAACAACACCACCGGGCCCTTTTACCCGGGAACCGACATACGTCCGTCCGTCCATCCGTCCGCCTGTCCGTCCGTTCGTTCGTAGGTTCGTTCGTTGGCTCGTTCCTACATTCGTTCGTTCGTTCGTTCGTTTCTGCCGAATCCCCCAAAACGATCCAGCAGCTGCTGCAGAAAACCGGTGCAGCACTGTGTATAATCACATTGTTGTAGTGCGTTCGGCTCCTTTCCTCCTCCAACTTCTTCTACTCCTCCACTAACCTTTTTCCACCCTCTCTCTCCTTCCCTCTTTTTCTCTCCTTTTCTCTTTCGGAAGGTCCTAGACCATCCTCCTAGTCACAAACCTTGCCAGAACGATTGGTCGAGTTGCTTGCTTGCCTGAATGCAACAACCATGGAAACAATGACCGCAAGTAATATCCCATTATTTAATAAATATTATCATGTACGAGTTTAACCAAGATAACTAGCCAATCAATTTTAACGAGCGTTTACTTTATTGTCTTCGAAAAGAGATCAATTTTTTATTCCCAATCGAGCTTTCAATATTGCATATTATCTAATGGATTTCTTGAAATATAGCTTCTCAGAAAATGAAAGATTATAAAAAAAAAAAAAAAAATTCCATATATATTATTTGGATCCTTCAAATGTACCTGCCATTGACGATACTCTGTCTACAATAGAAAAATGTTTTATAAATAATTTGTTATTTCAGTATATAGCATACCCCAAGTAGATTCCCTTTCCTTATTTCTAAAGCAGCTATTGTAAAAAAAGATTATAGTTGCCCTTTTGAATGTGGTCCTAAAGAACCTAAAAAGTCTATCTAAATGCCGAGAGTAACGGGTGTTTTAAAAACGTTTCATCCTTTCTAGTCTTCCCTTCAGGTATATACGGTTGAAACCCTCGATGGAGAAAGTAATGCTTCAAGAAAGAATAACAGCCGTTAAGCGGGACACAGTTGAGTTAGTTATAACTCGATCTTCGTCAAATCGATTACTCACTCTGACACAATATAGAAAAGCTCGCTTCGTTTGGCGATGGTAGAACAAACACGGCAAACGAGAATTTTCGAAGGCATAGGACAAATATCCCTATATCATCGTCATGAACATCGTCACGACGACGATGTACGAGTTTTATCGCGCGTGTTCGATGCTGGCCAATTGCCACGCGCGCTCGATTTTGCCCCACGAAAATATCTTCTCGGCCAAAGTCACTAAGGCCAGACTTTCAAAAAGAAATGAAGAATTTCATTATACAACGCTCGCAATTTTACGAGTAGCAATACTCGTTGGGGTAGACAAACTAAATTCTAACTCGCGATTCGTTTATATGACATTTGGAAGTACTACCTTCGAGCATAAATGAAAAAAAGTTAAGTTAATTTTTATTTATTTTAATTTTATAGTCAATCGAAGAGACCGAGAAATATACAACAATCGTAATACTAATAATTGCAATGTGAATTTGAAGTAAGAAACAAATTGTTATTGAAATTTCTGTGATAAGTAAAGAAGTTAGAGAAGAAAGAGGTAGATGAACGTTTTTCTCGTAGACTTTAAAGAATTTCGAAAGAGATCGTCTCAAATGGGCAACTCGACGAAGCGTCGATAACGCGATTATCGAATTGTTTGCATCTCATGTGAAAACACTTGTTGAAGCACGATGAAACGATGCTTACTAACATCTAAGCACGATGGCCACTTTTTACGCGCATTTTTCCAAATCTAAATAATAATCGATTTTAATCGGTCAATTCGAGGAGGACGTGCATATTCGTCAAAAGTATTATTACATTCATAACCACAAAGGATTAATGTTTTTTATTCTCGTAAAACAAAAACACTATTTCTTCTAATTCATTTACCTAAGTATATACTAGCAATTAATCGTATCACGTGGTAATAATATGATTATATATTATAAATATGCATAGTCATATTTGAATTATTATATCGAAAATGTGATATCTCTCATAACACGTGAAATTAATAGACCATCTATAGTAATAAAGTGAACCGAGACGTTATTATTGATTACCCCTTTATATAATACAAAAACCCATAAATTTAATATTAATTTATTTTAAATGATAAAAAACGAAAAAACGAAAAATAAAAAAAGAAAAAAAAAGAACAATTTTCGTTGAAAAACTAAGCCACCTTTTCGACGGTATAAAGATATTGAGCGTATTGCTTAGTCGATTCATCTCATATTACGATCGGAAGTTTAAGATTAACGCATATCTTTAAATATATATATTCGATTCCCCAAAGATTTTGCTTACATTAGTAACATTTTTTTATAGATGTAAAATATGAGCCGTCGAAGAAAAGGAAAAAATTTTCAAGGAAGATAGGTTAAGAAGATAAAAAGGGAAAAAAGGGCAGAAGAAAGAAAGAAAGAAAGGAAAGGAAAGGAAAGAAAGAAAGGAAGGAAAGAAAGAAAGGAAGGAAAGAAAGAAGTGGGATTCGGTAGAGTGCCGAGGGAGATTTCCAGGCGGATCGTTTTACCCGAGGAAGGCGGGCAGGCAGGCAGACAGGCAAGCATATGCAAGCAGGCAGCCTGGTCCAACTCGAAAAAGTTCGCTGTTCGTCGTGTAAACACAGACTTTTCCTTCAAATTCGTGTGTCTACGGTTGTGGAACCATCGAACACGATTCTCGACACAATAATAACTTGCGAAAGTAGCCTTTTTCGAGCGGCTAACTACGATCGCGTTATAATGAGCATATTTTCGAAAGTACGCAATTACAAATAGATATGTAAGTATTCAAGATTTTAAGTATATATATACTTGTGTAATTAAAAAATTGAAATATATATAAGAGAGAAAAAAAGAAACAGAAAACTAACAAGGTTTATTATTTCCTATTTTCGTGAAGATAGAGTTGATCAAAATGAAATTATTATTTTGTTGGAAATGTATGAACTCATGGTTTTGTAATAATCAAATATGGATTAAATATATATATATATATATGAATATGTGTGTGTGTAATGTATTTGAAGAGAAACGAGTAACGAGTCGAAACCTACATTCTCTGCAAAGCTAATTCTTCTTATCAACTGAAAGTCCATTGAACGAAAGTGCAACAACTTTCGAACAAGAAGAAAGTCCAAGACTCGAAGAATCTTTCGGTCATGTCTTTCTTTCTTTCTTATAAACTGAGTCAAAACTACTTTTCAAAAGCATACTTATTCATTTCCGTATATTTTCCTGCATATACGACGACATTAACTTTATTTTCACGATCGACAATCTATCGTGCATATGTATTTCCGTTTGTTCGCGCGTATAATGAACAGTTTGAAATATATTCAACAACGTCATACAACCTTAAAACTAACGCGTAAAGAAAACGCGAAATTAGAACATTGCGCATAGACAGTGCACACTTAGAATGATAGATATACCTTACTATCGTAATTGCATATATTCACGTTGAAAAGAGAAAGAAAGAAAAAGAGAAAGACAAAAATAAATAGACACGCGAAAAATGTCTATATCGAGAGACATATGTATATCGAATATAATTAATAAAAGAAGAAAAGAAAAAAGAAAAAAAAAAAGAATAAAGGAAGAAAAAATATGATAACTAACCTCTTGTTTCTTCAAGATGTTTCTTTAACACTTGTGCGTACACGTAAAAAATAATCCCACTGTTTAATTAATAATCCAACGAAGAGGGTGAGAACACCAGGAGCGTGTGTAAACACCGAAATCTTGCACGACACGATCCGCGTCCTTCCTTGATCGAACACGAACTATTTCTTAACGCGTTAAACTTGCTTGTGATCGACTAGAGGGGTGCTAGAGGTATACGGTGGTAGTAGTGGGGAGAGAACAACGATGGCACACTATCTTGGCGAACAAAAAAAAACGACGAAGAGAGACGACGCTCGGAGATTTTTTTATTTTTTTTCAACGAAGACGACGACGGCGACGACGATGACGAGGATGAGGTCGATTTCTTCGAAAGAAAAAAAAACGCGGGAGATTTAAAAAAAAATCACTTGCCGATGATAGGTACGACGACGAAAAAGAAACTAAGGATGAGTTTCTTTGTATCACTTAAAGTTCACGATGATGCGGACGACACACCAGGGCCAATAATAGTTAAGATGGTGGTGGTGGTGATCGTATATTACTATGACGTTGTTGTTTCCTCATGTATCCCTAACTTGCCTACACA